TGGGGGTAATGGGGTCGGGGGGGTACCTGGCTCAGAGGGGCTGGGCTCGGAGGTGGGGGGTCAGGGCTGTGGGGGAATGGGGTCAGGAGGTGCCCGGCTCAGAGGAGCTGGGCTCAGAGCTGGGGTCAGGGCTGTGGGGGATGGGGTTTGGGGGGTGCCCAGCCCTGGCCCCTTACTATGCCACTTACCCCCTCTCCCAGAGACTCAGCGCGCTGCATCCAGCGCTGCAGCGGCGTGGTGTTTCCAGCGGGGCCTGAGCTCCCGCCGCTCACAGCCCCGCCCCCTTACCAGCTGAGACGCCAGGGGATGGGGGAAGACGGAGGCAGGGGGAGCCTCCGACATACTCGTGGAGGCCCCTGCGGGGCCTGGGGCAAATTGCCCCACTTGCCCCCCCCTCTGGCCGGCCCCGTCTGCCCTCTCCTTCAGGCCTGTAGGGCCTAATGGCCAGTCAGGGGAGTGGGCCACCACCCAGGGTGGTTGGCAGCCAGGTAGGGGGACCCGGTCCCTCCCTGCTCCACCAGGTCCCAGCTCAGTGCCAAGTATGTTTGTCACTTTGTCAGAAGGGCATCCATCTGAAACACACTGACACCATCCAGCACATTGACTAATTCCCCTGAGTTCCTTCCTACACTGTCCAGGTGCAGTGGTCCTGGCATCTCCAAGGTATTTGGGCTCCTCAGCCTATGGGGCTCTCAGCAGCTCTGTCACTCCTTGGGCATCCGCAGGAGCTTGGGCATTCACCTGGGTCTCAGGCTAAATCTTTTGTGGACTCCTTAGACATAGTCCGTGGACCCCCAGGGGTCCGTGGACCACAGGTTGAGAATCACTGCTCTAGAGGACATCAATATCGGGCTGTATCCAAGCAGTCCTGATGTGTTAAAACCCAAGTCAAATAACAGAGAACAGAGTCATGGATGAAAATGAACAAAATGTATAGTGACCCATTGCTGCCTGATGCTCTCAGCACCCTGGGGCTGGCTTAGCAAGTAGCTCTGAGATGGATCAAAGGGACCCTACTGCCCCAGACCACCCCACTGTGTTCAAACAGCTGAACAAATGAACTAATGAACAATGGGCCAGAGCTGCAGCTGGTGTTGATGGGGGCAGCGCCATTGAGGGCCGTGGAGCTATATCAACTGACACCAGCTGAGGATCTGGCCCATTGCCTCAGGACCAACGTCTCCTGTGTTGACAAGGAAGGTCTCAGCACTGAGAAGCTGTAGCAGCAGGTGATCCACTGGGCACGAGAGGTCTGCCTTCTGGTGACACATTAGGCTGGAGATGTACTGACAAAGCTGCACTGTAGGAGCTGGGGACCAGGGTGCAGCAGGCTGGGATTGAGGGGCACCGGCACAGCTGTGGGTGGGGAGCCCAGGGCTGGGAAGGTCGGGGGTTGTGGGTCATGATTGAGGGGTGCTGGCAGAACTGTGGGTGGGGAGCCAAGGGTTGGGACAGTAGGGGGCTGTGGGTCAGGATTGAGGGGCACTGGCACAGCTGTGGGTGGGGAGGCAAGGGCTGGGACAGTAGGGGGCTGTGGGTTAGGACTGAGGGGTGGGGAACCCCTACCAAGCCAAACTCTCTGGCATGAACAGCCGGAGCCCCCTTCCCATCCTCTTACTGACTCTCTCCCCTCTCTGCTGTTTCTCCCCAGGACGCAGGTGGTGTCTGTAGTGGCCACGTACCAGTACCCAGACCCAAGCAACACCTTCAGTCGGGAGCCCTTCATCGTGAAGTTCTCGTCCCCCAACTCAAGTAAGCAGAGCCCGCTGGCAGGAGTGACCTCAGCCCTGCTGAACCCCCGCCCAGCCCCACGCAGGGCCCTGCCGCCGGTTTGCACCATCCTGGAGCTCAAGGCACCAGTGAGAGACTCAGAGTAGCCGTGAGCCCCACTGAGCTGGAGCAGGCTGGCGAGCCGCATCCCCAAGTAGGGTGAATGTCTGGGAAGGGGTAGCTCTGAGCGATGCAGGAGCCACGTGCTGGCTCGTGTGCTGCGCTGAGGGGGTGACAGATTCATGGCCCCAGGACGGGTGCATTGTCACTGTCTCCGGCAGGGAGGGACCCGGCCCTCCTGCTCTGGGCTCAGGCCCTGCTGCTGGAGGACAGGGAGACTCTGCTAGGTATGGGAAGTGTGGCTGTGGGGGTCCATTCCCCCCAGCAGAGGGTACTGGCTCATACAGTACGCGGGGGACTGAACCCTGCAGTCACATTCAGCTACAACCTGGCGTATGTGCATAGTGAGAGCTGCACAGGAGGGATGTCGTGAGATGCTCGGACCTCCGCTCCAGATTCCCCATTCTCACCCACGCAGTGGGGCACAGGGCTCTGGCTATGTTGGCTAATAGGGGACAGGACACTCATGGATGTAGACGAGGGGAGGGCAAACTACGGCCCGCGGGCTGGATCCGGCCCATCAGGGCTTTCAATCTGGCCTGTGGGACTGCCAGCCCCATGGCACAGCAGGTTTAAGGCAGGCTCCCTGCCTGCCCTTGCCCCGCATCGCTCCCGGAAGGGGCTGGCACCACGTCTCTGCAGCCCGGGGGGAGGGGGTGACAGAGGGCTCCGTGTGCTGCCCTTGCCTGCAGGCACCGCCCCCCACAGCTCCCATTGGCCGGGAATGGGGAACCGCACTCAATGGGAGCTTCGGGTGTGGTACCCGCAGGCAAGGGCAGCACATGGCGGAGCCGCCTGCCCCACCCCACCCCCAGGAGCCACTGCTGGACATGCTGGCCACTTCCGGGAGCAGCGCAGGGCCAGGGCAGGCAGGGAGCCTGCCTTAGCCCCACTGTGCACTGCTGCCACCCCGGAGCCACTCAAGGTAAGCGGTGCTGGGCCGGAGCATGCACCCCAAACCCCTCCTGCACCCCGCACCCCAACCCCCCGCCGCACCCCTCCTCCACCCAACCCCCTGCCCTGTGCCCCCAAAGCCTCTGCCTTGAGTCCCCTGCCGCACCCCAACCCTCTGCCCTGAGCCCCCAACCCCTTGCCCTGAGCCCCTTCCTGCACACCACACCCCGCACTCCCTCCTGCACCCCAACCCCCTGCCTCAGCCCTACATCCATAGTCCTGCATGCAATTTTCCCACCCAGATGTGGCCCTTGGGCCAAACGTTTTCCCACCCCGAGGAACACAAAGGGAGAGATCTGA